ACGTGTGTACCAACAACGTGGCCTACTTGATAGCCCCAATTATTCTAAATTCTAAAAAATCGTAACACGATTTGATAGGCCTTAACAGTCCATGGGTGCCTGCATGAGCAACGACAAGGTAACAAACAACATATTGAATTAAAGTTGCAATAATGTCTTGAGCCTCGGAAACCTGCGTTACACCTCTATTCTCTTAACATGTTGCATCTCAATTTGGACGTGGACTTACCCAATTTACCTCATTCCCAATTCATCGTTCGGTAATCTGAAAGTCTACTTGCAAACAGAGAACGGGAAGCTTTTGCCGTCTGTTCTATCCTATTATCTCTCTGGTTCTAGGCGGGTCGAATTGCTCACAGCTTTACCAACCTTACGTAGCGATCGGTACTCTAAAAGATGTCAGGGCCTTTTCTCTCGCTCGCTCACGCGTATCAGATCTTCAAATTCAAATTGAATTGCTGGCGGTAGTTGGCATAGTCACCAAGACCTGATATGGCCGCAATATGTTAGTTTTGCGCTCATCATGGTAGATTCAGCTCTTATGGCCATTTTTTAAATCATACGGTATTCAGTTATATCGCTATGACATTTATAAACCACTCATCTTTCTTTTCCCAAATATAATGTTTGAAGTCCTTAATCTCCTCCTATCTACATGTCCACTATTTTTTGCCCTGATTAGTCCTTGTGGCTATTTATGGTATATGTGGAGGTCAACTCGATACTACTTCCAACGAGTTCCTAAAAGCTCTAAGCCACACACTTTGCCCAGTCTGACTAAAGCTGCAGGGGTTAAATCTTGGGTCTCTCTGCCGGGTGAGGCTCCAATTAGCGGATGAGAAGAATTATTACCACGTGGACCAACTTATTCAGTAATGCGAAATTCGATTACAGTCAGTTCTGGAAAAAAATTTCAATTCCAGATTCTTGGGAGGTATTACATGCAGGCATTCGAGCTTCACCCTTCGTTTGGATAGCTTATGAATTCTGGTAGAGATATGATGCCTCGGGAGTTTATGGCATCGGTCCGTTATGTCAAGGCAAACTATTCCACCTACTCCTGTAAACTAAGCCAGTCAGGTTACATGACCTGATTATCAGTAGATAGACTTCATCTGTAGCAATAGGGCTCTCTAGTCGACATTTACAACGTAATACCGTGTCCCACGTATCTTTCTTGAGACGTAATAGACGAAGGATTTTATTCCTGACAGGCACAAAGCTACCACTCATATTTAATTATCCATATATGTCCTACTTGAGTTTATAACTATGTAGGATAGGCTATTTAATCACAATTTTTCTTCCTCGTTCTAATTGGGGGTTACCTATAATTAATGGTTGGATTCCCATTACGGGCTCACCAGGGGGTCTACCACTCATAGAGCTTGACACAGGGAAGGTTAGTCCCTCCGTGATGATAAATCAGTTTGATGGAGGGCAAAGACTAAACGCCTGTACGCGGTGTCCTCTGCGAACTTGGGAGTGAAATATTCACCCAGAGCCAAGTTCAGTCAAATTTCGCAATTCTAAAGAAGTTGGCCCACGCGTATTATGATTATGAGGAGGGGAATCGCATACAAACAGTGGCTTTATCAATATGTGCTTGACACTATTAAGAAGTGGACGATGATATGTGTTCGCTTTGTTAGATTCGTTTCCTGTCGATTGCTACCTGTTTGAAGGAGAATACTCCTATTTATGTTACGAGATTAATCCCTTGTGTTTGCACTGTCTGCGCCAGTACGGTAGGGATGGGATATAGGGCCTAGTCAGCTACTGGAGCTACCAATGTTGCGGTCTGGATATGGTTGCTTAGCAACAAAGACTGTTATGATCGGCGCTGACAATTACAATTCCCTATGTTTACAGCAAGTAGTAGGTAAGCTTCTTTCTCTAGATTACATTAATTATCTGATTTTATCTGGACTTGCTCTGCTATGTACCAACACCAACTGATCCGGCGACAATTTATACCTAGAGCTCGTCTATCTAATTGCTAGTAGAATATTCCATCTTGTGATGTAAGATATTCTATCATATACTATAGAATTGTTTACGTTCTTGTTCAAACCATCCACATGCAACTGTTATGATGTCACTACAACAACCACATCTTGTATAGATCTCTATATCATCTAATAGAGCTTGTCTAATTGGCTGTGTGATTTCACATCATAACAACAAGGCAATGACCCAGGACTATACTAAATCAAACTCTCCCGCCCAACGAGATCGATCTCCACAGAAACCTCATCAAGTTTACAAGTACGACCAAGTACGTCCTCGTTTCAATAACCACATTTCTTATCGAATTTCTCTGGCCTCAGCTGGTCACCAAATGCCCGCCCATGCCGATATTTATACCCGATGGAGGAAGCAAAGCGTGGCGCACAAATCTGAGAGATAGCTCTTTGGGATGGACGTGAGAGGGATCAGGACAAGTTGATAAGATGATGCAAAGGATGGATACATTCTCGAAGGGCGTGAAATTTCGAATTTTGGCAAGAGTATTACGAATTGAGACTTGTGCGCGCGAAGACTTCGGTTGCGAGAGTGCAGCTGACACTATAAAAACAAGCCGACGACAGAAGGTGTTGTGATCCGCCTCCTGGTGGTGTTCTCTGGCATAGTTTGAGTAGCCTGGACACCTCCTCCACTGAGGAAGGAGACACTCAAGACCACATTTCGCTCGGAGAAAACTCAATGGATGAAGGAGTTATGCCTTGATAACTCAGGGGTTTGGAGGCGTTCCCCTGGATGGGTAATCATGGATGAGGGTTGAGCTAGGGTGAAGAAAAAGCTACCGCAACTTCGCAGTGATACTTGCAAATGAAATCCGAGGCATGAGTGCACTTCATTCATGTTGAATCAGATATTCTGTACTTTTCTTTGATATTGTGTCATAGCTAGATAGCTGCATACGCAATTCAAATCTGATGCAAAAAAAAGAACACCTACACAACTTTTATCAAGTTTAGGTTTTAGAATAGTCATATCTAGATCTATGACTATGATAAAATCTAATCTAATCTAATCTTATCTAAGGTCCGCTTCCTGGTTATTATCTCCACAAGTTCAGGTCTCGGTAGCCTGATCACCTAGTTTTTTTTGCACCAGATTTGAATTGCGTATGCAGCTATCTAGCTATGACACGATATCAAAGAAAAGTACAGAATATCTGATTCAACATGAATGAAGTGCACTCATGCCTCGGATTTCATTTGCAAGTATCACTGCGAAGTTGCGGTAGCTTTTTCTTCACCCTAGCTCAACCCTCATCCATGATTACCCATCCAGGGGAACGCCTCCAAACCCCTGAGTTATCAAGGCATAACTCCTTCATCCATTGAGTTTTCTCCGAGCGAAATGTGGTCTTGAGTGTCTCCTTCCTCAGTGGAGGAGGTGTCCAGGCTACTCAAACTATGCCAGAGAACACCACCAGGAGGCGGATCACAACACCTTCTGTCGTCGGCTTGTTTTTATAGTGTCAGCTGCACTCTCGCAACCGAAGTCTTCGCGCGCACAAGTCTCAATTCGTAATACTCTTGCCAAAATTCGAAATTTCACGCCCTTCGAGAATGTATCCATCCTTTGCATCATCTTATCAACTTGTCCTGATCCCTCTCACGTCCATCCCAAAGAGCTATCTCTCAGATTTGTGCGCCACGCTTTGCTTCCTCCATCGGGTATAAATATCGGCATGGGCGGGCATTTGGTGACCAGCTGAGGCCAGAGAAATTCGATAAGAAATGTGGTTATTGAAACGAGGACGTACTTGGTCGTACTTGTAGACTTGATGAAGCTTAGTTGAGAATCGGACTCTTTGGGAGTAAAAGATTGACATGGTGGAGTAATTTGAATTTTTGCCTCGGGCCAAATTCTTTGATATTGCGAAATTTGACTGAAATTGGCTCTGGAAGTATACCCACGCATCATGTAAATAGATCTCGCTGTAGTTACGCCTTCTTCTCCTTTCATAGCCAATCTCTCTTCATTTCCCCAGGCTGCATCTCTACCATTTTCCCACCTCGTGATTGTATTATTTGTAATTACCTGAAATACAATTCCGCTTTTATTCTGACCCAATTGATCATGTTGACTAAATGCGTTACCATTTGTCATAACTTAATTCCTAATCTAATCTTGAGTGCCAGTAACTTAATCCGATATCGAAAAACTCGTGGAAAATGACTGTTTCATCATTCCAATTACACTTCCAAGCTACCTATAAACCTTCAAATTGTAGAGGCCCATTAAAGCAGTGGTCTCCCATAAGCTACAGCCCGAGGTTTGTATATACCAGCTTGATTTCCTCCCTGTGGGTATATAGAGCGTCGCTGTTTGGTAGTAGTAGATATCCGGTGATTTGTTAGGAAAACTCCCGATTGAAGTTGGAGGAACTCGTTAATCGGTCGTTGAGGCTTTGTGGCTTGTGGTGATATTTAAGAGAGGGATTCGTGGTAGTGTGATAGGACTAATGTTGATGAGAAGTCGTCGACCATAAATATTCTTGTGTTGGCTTTGAACTTTGATGAGGATGCAATTCTTTTTGGCTATCTCAGATTTGCAGAGCAATCTTGGCGCTTACACTGGCAGCGTTGGGAAGTTGTAAGATTATCCATGCCGGTAGTCAAGCCCTGAAAAGATTAATATAGATCCCAGATCACGTGGTAGCAATTTTTCCGAGAGTAGGACACGCCCACGTTCGCAACAGAGAGAGTAGCGCGCCGCACAACTTTCTAATCATGACCAACACAATAAGAACGAAAAACCCATCCAGCAACAATCAAGGTCAATACACTAGTATATTCCAATTTTCGAAAACCTTTCCAACACCTAAACGTCGTCACGCAGTTAATGTTGCTCAATTTGGTTCCTAAAGCAAGTCTACCAAGCTTGTTTGGTAGCACTCATTCGCGATTTGCTTAATCTAGGCGCCTACTTAGAGGATTGGATGAGGGCACAATTATCCCAATTCTCCCTTTGCTTCGTCAGCTATGTCTATGAACAGTGTAGATTTGGTTGTGCAGCGGCTCAGCCTTCCGGATTCTGGTCAGTATCCAAATGACACCTAGCTGCTTCACTGAACAGCCCTCATGACGAATATAGATTTCAAAGCCAAGTTCGAAGCCGCATCACAGTTACGCGATAACCTGGAGCACTACATTACCGGTCAGATTTATCCGACTTTCTTGAAAAAGCTTGTGCCAGTTTTCATAAAATGCCTTAGTGGCGCCCCAGTCTTTATCAGCACGTCTTCAGAACAGGTAAGAATTGTAACATTCTGCGGCGACTTTCCCTTACACTTCTGTCTAGAAATTGCGAAACTGTATTCTCGAAATTATACATCGGCTTCCCACGAACCCTCCAGAACCATTTGAGCCATTCGCAGTAGAAGTTACAAACAAATTGATGGAATTAGTTCGAGTCGATAACGAAGATAATGCAACAATATGTGTCAAAACAGTTATGGAAATTATGCGTCAACAGACGAAGGTGTTACAGGACCAGGTTCAACCGTTTCTCTCTCTCATTCAAGAGCTATTTGACAAGGCAGAATCATCAGTGCGCGAACAGCTTGATAATGTTGCTTCAGCTGCTGCTTTACCATTTGGTATATCTCAAGCATATCAAAATTCACCTAGGCCTGGCTCACCGGTGGGAGCCGCGTCAGATCTTGGATTAGACCCTCAGCAGCAGACTCGACCGCTTATGAAGGGAATGCATTCGTTCAAAGTCCTGGCAGAATGTCCCATAATTGTAGTCTCTATCTTTCAAGCTTATAGAACTATTGTAGCACCCAACGTCAAGATTTTTGTTCCACTCATAAAGCGAGTGCTTATCCTTCAGGCAAAGCCACAAGAGCAAGCACATCTAGACGCGGCAGCTCAAGGAACAATATTTGTTGGAACTAGCCCTGGTATAAGAAATAAAGCTGCCTTTACCGAATTTGTAACCTCCCAAGTCAAGACAATGAGCTTTTTAGCATATCTGCTTCGAGTACATTCTCACCAGTTGACTGATTTCATACCTAATTTGCCCGAAATAATTGTTCGGCTACTCCAAGACTGTCCCCGGGAAAAGTCTGCTACTCGAAAAGAGCTTTTAGTAGCAATTCGACATATAATTAATTTTAATATTCGAAAGGTATTTTTAAATAAAATTGATGAGCTCCTTGACGAAAGAACACTCATTGGTGATGGCCTCACTGTTTATGATACAATGAGGCCTTTAGCATACAGCATGCTAGCTGATCTCATACACCACATTAGAGACTCCCTTGAACCGCTACAAATTCGGAAAACAGTAGAGGTCTACACGAAAAATTTAATGGATAGCTACCCTGGGACTAGTTTTCAAACCATGAGCGCGAAATTGTTGCTTAATATGGCTGAGTGCATTTCGAAGATGGAAAACAAAGCAGATGCGCGTCACTATCTCATCATGATATTGAATGCCATTGGAGATAAATTCGCTGCAATGAATCGACAATACCCCAACGCAGTTAAAATATCCTCGCTTCACGCTCAAGATTCGTCTGATTTGTTGCAGGACAATTTCCTTGCTGAAAAAGAACAACCTCCGATATGGGATGAAACCGATATATTTTCGGCAATGCCAATCAAAACTTCAAGCCCTCGTGATCGGGGATCTGATCCCGTTGCGGACAATAAATTTTTATTTAAAAACTTGGTGAACGGTTTGAAAAGTACATTTTACCAGCTCAAGGCATGCAACGTCGGAACCCCAATTGATCCTTCAAATGCTCCAGCCCACTGGCAGGAAGTATCTTACGGTTTTACCGCAGAGGAGGTCCAGGTAATCATCAAGCTATTCCACGAAGGATCTTATGTTTTTAGATATTATGATATTGATAAGCCTTCTTCTGAATCTCAATATTCAACGCCTGTAGAATTCATGGCCAATCATTATATGATATCCAGCAGTAAAGAAGAAAAGGACTTACTGGAAACATTCGCGACAGTCTTTCATTGTATCGACCCAGCCACTTTTCACGAAGTATTTCACGAAGAAATACCTCGTCTTTATGAAACTATTTTTGAACATACAGCACTCCTCCATATCCCACAGTTTTTTTTAGCAAGTGAAGCAACCTCTCCAAGCTTTGCGGGAATGCTCCTTAAGTTTCTGATGAGCCGCATCCACGAAGTTGGCACGGCTGATGTCAAAAAATCTTTGATACTGTTACGACTATTCAAGCTTGCATTTATGGCTGTTACCCTCTTCTCAAACCAGAACGAGCAAGTGCTCATGCCACATGTAGTTGATATTGTCACCAAATCCATCGAGCTCTCAACAATGGCAGAAGAGCCAATAAACTATTTCATACTCTTGAGATCGCTTTTTAGGAGTATAGGCGGAGGAAAGTTCGAACATCTTTATAAGCAAATACTTCCACTTATCGAAATGCTGCTCGAAGTTTTGAATAGCTTACTCCTTGCAGCCCGAAAGCCTGCCGACAGAGATTTATATGTCGAGCTTTGTCTCACCGTCCCTGCGAGACTGAGTAATTTGCTTCCCCACCTAAGCTATCTGATGCGTCCTCTCGTTGTAGCTCTAAGAGCTGGATCGGATATAGTTGGGCAGGGTCTGCGAACCCTTGAACTATGTGTTGATAATCTGACAGCAGACTACCTTGACCCAATTATGGCACCCGTGATAGACGAGTTAATGAATGCTCTTTTTGACCATCTTAGACCTACACCATATAGTCACTTTCATGCTCACACTACCATGAGGATCCTCGGCAAACTAGGTGGCCGCAACCGAAAATTCATGACAGGCGCGCTTAAGCTAAACTTTCAAAAATTCTCAGATGATGTAACGAGTTTTGATCTCCGTCTCATTGGCTCCAAAAAAGACAGGGCTTTCCCTGCAGAGATCGGAATTGACTTAGCCATAAGAAAGTTGACAGAGACACCTAAAAACATGGCAGGTAAAAAGTCGGACGCCTGCTATAAGAAACACGCTTTTAATCTCATCAAAACACAGCTTAAAATACGTCTTGGTGTAGATTCCTATCCCGAGGACTTTGGAAGGCTCGTCCGTTTGCAAGCACAGGACCTCTGCCAAAAAGTATTCTCTTCATTTTCGCCAATTGAAACTTCAGACAAAGAAAAATCAATGGCAAAAAAGTATGGACAGGACATTATGGTTAAAAAGCTGATTAAAGCGTGCTTATTTGCTGTTTCACTCTCAGAGTTTTCTGCGGAAGCTACAGCTCTCATTGTCAATATATGTAAGCATTTCACGTTGTTAGAATTTAGCCGTGGCTTGGCAGAAATGCGGCAGCAATCTTTATCCTTTGATATCGACTCTAAATCTGGGGAGGGATCTCTATACATTGATACCAGGGTCCTAGCAGACGCTATTGCGGAGTCTTTATCTTCAGATGTTCCCGCAGTAAGAGATGCTGCTCAGTATGCGATTCAAGAAATTTTTAACTACGTAACAATTATACTTGGGTCTGAATCTCTTGCCTTCAAGCTTCCATTTTTTACATATATCAGTAACCTATTTTGCCACAACTGTTATCATGAAGAGTGGTTTTCCAAAACTGGAGGCTGTCTAGGCATTAATCTTCTGATAACAACAATTGACCTGGGTGATACCTGGGTTAGTGAAAGACAAATCGATTACCTAAGGGCTCTCATGTATGTCATAAAAGATATGCCGTCTGATCTTCCTGCAAATACTCGTAATGCTGCACAAGAGACTTTGGAGATCCTACTAAATAGGTGTTCAAAAAATGTTTCAAAGGATGACCTTCAACCTCCGCCTCCGGCTCAACCCGGACAAAGATCAGCTCAGCCTTCAAAGCTTTATCAAATGTGCACTATTCTCAACACAGAGTTAAGTCATATGAGTTCACACGTTCGAGAAACTGCTAAGAGAGCTTTGAAAATTATAGCCAACAAAGTCGGTAGTGAAATTTATGAACTACTAGAGCCAAGCAAGGATCGATGTATGATGCCTATTTTTTCTAAGCCACTTCGAGCCTTGCCTTTTGGTGTCCAGATTGGATTCATTGATGCCGTGACTTTCTACATGAGCCTCAAGCCCGACTTTGTGGCCTTCGACGATCATCTTAATCGACTTCTAATGGAGTCACTCGCTCTCGCTGATGCACCGGATGAGTCTCTAGCTGGTAAGCCGGCTGAACACCGGACTCATGAGTCAATCATTCGTCTCAGAGTTGCATGTATCAGAATGCTTTCAACCGCAATGGGGTTTGAAGATTTTCAAAAGGGGCAGTCTAATCCCACCCGCAGCAAGATAGTGTCTGTTTTCTTCAAGTGTCTCTACGCGGAATCTAAGGAGACAATAGAGGCCGCAAATGATGCGCTTAAAGTAGTCTTGATTCAAACGACAAAACTTCCTAAAGACCTGCTTCAAAATGGATTACGTCCAGTACTTGCCAAGCTCCAAGATCCAAGAAGGCTTAGCACTCACGGCCTCGATGGACTTGCACGACTCCTACAATTATTGACAACTTATTTTAAGGTCGAAATCGGCTCTAGGCTTCTCGATCACATCAAAGTATTGGCTGAAGCAAACATGCTTCAATCAACTTCCTTTACACTTATCGAGCAAAATGAACAAATGAAAATTATTGCCGCAGTTTTTAATATATTTCATCTCCTCCCTCCTGCAGCAGAAGGTTTTAAAGACAGGCTGGTCGATACCCTTCTGAATCTAGAGGAAGGGCTACGCCGTACAAAGCACAGTCCTTTCAGAAATTATCTATTTAAATATTTCAATAGATATCCAAAAGAGGTTTTTTTCATGCTTTTAGGCAAGATTGAAGAACTAAAGTACGGACGATTTCTAGCTCAAGTCCTCAAGCATCCCGATAGCAAGCCCTTACGTGAAATAGCCGTAGTCAGTGCTGAATCTATTATCAAGAGCTGCGGAGATGTGAGCGAAGACATAGAAATTCGCTTCTCGTCTATTATAAATGCGATACATATAATCTATTCAATCTCAAAAGCCTCAGATGTAGATTCGACATTATGGATGGATGATAAGGAACATATGAGCTGGCTTCGATCAGTTGGAAAGAAATTAGAAGCACGGCTTCGCAAGGACACTCTTCCTGCCAACTTACGACTTCCGGCTGAGCAAGCCGGAGAACATCTCATGTTTATCTGTACCAAATATCTTGAAAATCATCCGAATGATATCGACTTTCTATTTAGTCTAATAGACTCAGTCACTGCTGAGGAAATGAAGTCGAGTCGCTCTTTTATTTCACATCTTTACCGAACCATCTCTTCTTCCTCAGTCGAACATTGCAAAATCCTTGTCCTGCGATGTCTTGATGCGTATGCAAGCAAAACTGTATCTCAACAAACGAAAACCTTCTTGCTTCACAATCTAGTTAATCCAATTATTGCTGCAGATATTATGCGTGTTTACAAAAACCCCGACTCTACGAACAATCCAAAACTTATGGATAAAGTCCTAATTGAATCAATTCACACCAAAATCTGGAAAATCGGTCCGGGAGACACTAGCGACGACAATAAGCAGCAAGGTATTGATCACACTCGCTTTGAGGTTCTGCAATTGACTGCTATGTTGGTCAAATACCACCATACAATTCTTCAAGACGCCCGAAAAGATATCATCAAATTTGGCTGGACTTATATTAGGCTCGAAGACGCTATAAATAAACATGCCGCATATGTTGTAATTGGATACTTCATTGCTCATTATGAGACTCCCGCAAAAATTGTTCAGCAAGTATATTTTTCCCTCCTGAAGACCAATCAAAATGAAGGACGAGCTCTCGTCACACAAGCACTGGAACTTATAACCCCTGTGCTTCCCAAGCGTTGTAACTGTGCTCCTGGCGACCGGAACCCTGTATGGGCTGCAGCTCCTCGTCGAATATTGTCCGAAGAGGGACATAACATACAGCAAATGACGAGTATACTAAACTTCTTAGCCAAACACCCAGATCTGTTTTACGACTCAAGGGACAGGTTTGCCAACTTAGTAATTGTGTCGTTGAGAAAAATAGCACCATTACCTAATCCGTCAAGCGAAAGTAAAAAGCTTGTCATTAATCTAATGACACTTATCTGGCAGTGGGAAAAAAAGAGAGTCGAGAGTAAGAATGAATTATCGTCAAGGGCCCATTCTGAATCTCCTAAAACCAAGAAAAGAAAGCTCGAGTGCCTAGGAGAACAACCCCTTACTAATACGCCACTCACATCTGTGCCTTCAGGCTCAACGAACCGTGCTGGATACGAAATACCTGTTGTGGCTCAATCAAAAATGATCAAATACTTGGTTGAATTTATTGCCTCATTAAATGAAAGATTTCCACTTCCTTCCGCTAAACCCAAAGAGAGTTCGTCTTCACAGTTTCATATGCAATCTCAGAACTCTGTAGAGATGTGTAAGAGAGCTATAACTTTGCTATATAATTTTCTGCAGCCACAGTTTTGGGGAGAATCTTCTGCCGATCTGTTTCCAAACGTTACGGAGCAAGTTCTAGCCAGTGAAAGATGTACAGCTGCTTTAGCTAGTAGCCATCCCGAGAAAGAAAAGGCAGATGACAAATTTATCACCAACATAATCAATACTTTGCAAGCTATTCGTGTCATCATAAATTTTAAGCCTGATACATGGATTTTACAGAATATCTCTTCTCTACAACATATACTAGATAAGTCACTTAAGTCTGATAATCCTGAAGTACATGAATGTTTGCACGCCCAAGGCTTAGAAATAGACGAGGGAAGAGAAATTAAACCGCTTCTAGGGCGTATCCTAGATGCCGTTCCAGAGGACGTTCGCATGGATGACCCTGATATTGAGGGAGAGCCCGAAACACCAACCTCAGAAATGATTAATTACCTTTCAGGTATAGCCACTGAATCTCTCTCTGCAACTACAGCCAACTATACGGCAGGGATCAATATACTTTGGACACTAGTACAGCGTAAGCCTTCTGAGATAGATGTTCATATTACCCAGGTTATGAAAGCACTGCAATCAAAACTAGCTCGTGAACATGTTGCTCACTGGCAAGCACTGATCGGGCAATCAAGCACGGCGACATCTCGACCGAGTGAACCTGAGATTACAGGCGTTATGACTTCATACGACTTAGAAACACAGACTAACCTTATGGTCAAGGCAATCGAAATCATATCATTGCGAATGGAAGTTCTTGGTGATAACCGGAGACCATTTCTCAGCGTGCTTGCGACATTGGTAGAAAAATCTCAAAGTAATCCACTATGCCTCAAAATATTAGACATGGTGGAAGGTTGGGTATTTAGATCAGATGGATCATCCTGGCCTACGCTCAAAGAGAAGACTGCAGTCTTGCACAAAATGCTCACATTTGAGAATAGGTCTGACGAAACTCTATTGAATAAATTTATGGAACTAGTCATTCGTATTTATGAAGAGCCTAAAATTACTCGGACTGAACTCACCGTTCGGATGGAGCATGCGTTCTTGGTTGGAACTAGAATGACGGATATTGATATGCGGAATCGATTTATGGCAATATTTGATAGAAGTCAGTCTAAAACTGCCAGTGCGAGGCTAGCCTATGTAATTATAGCTCAAAACTGGGACACCCTGGCCGAATCCTACTGGCTTTCTCAAGCTATACAATTACTCATGGGCTCAGTCGATGTAGAGACACCCGTTGTGATACATTCCGAGGATTTTAGAACTGCACCTATTAGTATACTCTCTGATGCTTACAATAACGATTCTAGAGTTCCTGACGATGCATGTGATCATCGGTTTGATCAGTTAATTAGTTCACATAAACGCTTCTTAATGGAGCTCGGGGAAGTTCGGGTGAAAGATATTATCGAACCTTTAACACAACTACAGTATCTAGATACAGATGTTGCCCACGAAATTTGGGTAGCTCTGTTTCCGATATTCTGGTCGGCTACTTCAAAAGATGAGCGCGGCGACTTAGAGAGAGGATTAGTCACTCTTCTCACAAAAGATTATCACTCTCGCCAGATCGATAAAAGGTGCAACGTGGTTCAGTCCTTACTCGAGGGTGCAGCTAGAGCTTGGCCTGAGTGTAAAATCCCGCCTCACATACTCAAATTTGAGGCGAAGACGTATGATGCATGGTATACAGCTCTTGTTCAGATTGAAAGTGCTGCTATTAAACCCGAGATCGATAGCAAGTTAGTCAGAGAAAGTAACTTAGATGCTCTGGTCGAACTCTATGCTGGACTTAATGAAGATGATTTGTTTTATGGAACATGGCGGCGAAGATGCCAATATGTCGAAACCAACGCCGCGCTATCATACGAACAAAATGGCATGTGGGAAAAGGCACAACAAATGTATGAGCAAGCGCAAATCAAGGCGCGGATTGGTGCCCTTCCGTTTTCACAGGGCGAATACATGCTATGGGAAGACCAATGGGTTCTATGTGCGACAAAGCTACAACAATGGGACATTTTATCAGAGTTTGCAAAACATGAGAACTTTCAGGATCTATTGCTTGAATGTGCTTGGAAGCAAATTGACACTTGGGCTAGTTCTGAGAACCGAGAGATGCTCGATAATATCATCAAAGGTCTAATGGATGCACCAACTCCCAGGAGAACTTTTTTCCAGGCATTCATGTCTTTGGTTAAACTACACAATAAGACTGAATCTCCAGTCGAGTTTAGTAAGGTTTGTGATGAAGCCATCCAGCTTTCCATACGCAAATGGCATCAACTCCCCAAGCGAATCACCAACGCGCACATTCCCCTATTACAGAATTTTCAGCAGCTCGTTGAACTTCATGATGCAAGCGTAATCTGTCAAAGCCTAGCACAAACAAATCAAACGAACCTCGATACCAAGTCTGCTGAACTCAAGTTACTTCTTGGGACCTGGCGTGACAGACTTCCAAATGTTTGGGATGATATAAATGCCTGGCAAGATCTAGTTACGTGGCGACAACATATTTTTACACTAATTAATACAACATATATTAACCTTCTGCCAGTGCAAGGCACTCAAAATGCCAACAGTGCCTCATTTGCATACCGAGGATACCATGAGACGGCTTGGATCATAAATCGTTTTGCACATGTTGCGAGAAAACATCAACTGCCTGAAGTCTGCATAAATCAACTAGGGAGGATTTACACCCTGCCAAACATTGAGATACAAGAAGCTTTCCTGAAACTTAGAGAACAGGCTAAATGCCACTATCAAAATCCGAATGAGTTGAGCAGCGGATTAGATGTGATCAATAATACGAACCTTAACTATTTTGGACCTAATCAAAAGGCTGAGTTTTACACACTTAAAGGAATGTTTTTGGAAAAACTTGGCCAGCGTGATGAGGCTGCTGAAGCCTATGGTATGGCGTTATTCTTCGATATCAAATTACCCAAAGCTTGGGCGGAATGGGGACATTATAATGATCGACTTTTCAAAGATAATCCTACAAATATGACTTACGCTAAGAATGCCTTGAGTTGTTATCTGGAAGCTGCAGGGCTACTGAAGAATGCTAAGTCTCGAAAGCTTCTAACACGTATACTTTGGCTTCTCAGTCTTGACGATGCAGAAGGAACTTTATCCACCCAGTTTGATGAGTTTAAAGGAGAAACGCCTGTATGGTACTGGATAACTTTTATTCCCCAGTTACTCTCAGGATTAGGGCACAAAGAAGCACAAAAAGCTCATGCGATATTATGCAAAATTGCAAAAGCCTATCCGCAGGCCTTATTCTTTCAACTGAGAATGAACCGAGAAGATATGGCCACAACCAAGAGAGTCCAAGAAGCCAAGGAAGAAAGGGAACGTAAGCTCAAACTTATGGCTCAGGGACAGAACCGATCCTCAACTGACGCTAAATCGAAAGCATCTGTAGATCCTGCACAGGTAGAAAGCAGCAGTTTAGCTAGTACAGAGAAACCATCAAGTAAAGAAATGAATCCAAGTACAAAATCTTCGAATGGGAATTCTAGCAACGACCCCCCCCTCAGCTCGGCGCCTCAAAATAACCCACATAAAAAATCTTGGGAACACGCTGAAGAAATTTTGGCAGTGCTAAAGACAGCTTTTCCGCTTCTTGCCCTTTCTATGGAGACAATGGTCGACCAAATACAAAAACACTTCAAATGTACGCCAGATGAAGATGCCTATCGTCTCACTGGAGCTCTTCTTCAGGATGCTCTTTCATATGTGAGCCGTGCGCCTACTTCTTACGCCCAAGACGTCAAGCTACCATCTGCAACAGAAACAAATGTCGCTAGGTTTGCTGAATCTATTCTTCCAGTGCATATAAGAGCTTCATTTGAAGCCGACTTTGTCAAAAAGAAACTCACAATGTTTGAATACATTCACAAGCTTCGGAAGTGGCGTGAGAAATGCGAAGCAAAACTGGATCGAAGAAAGCCTTTTGCTTACTTGGAAAATTATAGCCAACATCTTAGCGAGTTCAAGTTTCAAAAGTTTGATGAAGTCGAAGTCCCTGGACAGTATCTTCAACATAAAGACAAGAATCAGGACTTTGTCCGTATTGAGCGCTTCCTACCTACCGTCGATCTTGTTCGCTGTATCGGAATTTGTCATCGCCGGCTGAAAATCCGAGGTCATGACGGAAGTATTCATCCTTTCGCAATTCAACACCCCGCTGCTCGTCATTGTCGACGCGAGGAACGCATTGTACAGCTCTTCAGGCATTTTAATGGTAGCCTCAACAAGCAGAAAGAAAGTCGGAGGAGGAACCTTAACTTTCATCTGCCGCTTATGATTCCCCTTACCCCTCATAGTCGAATGGTACAGGATGACGAAACATACATTTCATTGCAAGGTATTTTTGATGATCATTGTCGTAAGAGCAGTATGTCAAAGGATGACCCAGTTCTTTTTACAATGGAAAAACTGAAAATTTTAACGGAAACAAAGGTATGTAATAATCGTAGCCGTAATTGCACTTCAGTTTTAACTTTTTGGTATAGAGAACGCAGGAGCAAATGGCAGCAGCACGCCTGGAAACCTTCACTGCGGTCCAGGAAAAGTGGGTTCCAAATAATATTGTGCTTGATTATTTTACAAAGATCTATCCTCAGTTTTCGGATTTCTGGCTATTTCGCAGAAGGTTTTCATATCAGTTTGCGTCTCTAACTTTTATGACCTATGTTCTTCATATGAATAATCGGTATCCTCACAAACTTAATATTACACGTGCTACGGGAAATATCTGGGGCTCTGAATTAATGTCCTCTCTAGCAATGGGCAAGGCATACTTCCACAATCCAGAGCCAGTTCCATTCAGACTCACGCCTAATCTCCAAATCCTGATGGGGCCTCTTGCTACTGAAGGTATTTATAGCTGTGCTATAATGGCCATTGCGCGATGTCTTTCAGACCCCGAGTACGAACTTGAACAACAGCTGTGTCTGTTTGTCCGAGATGAGATGATCCACTGGTTCCAAACGAGTCACTGCTCCCAGTCTGTCGTCGACGGACAACTTCGAGAATCCGTTCAATTAAACAGCGAGATTATCGTCAAGAGGACTTTAAGTTTGGCTCAATCACCAGCTGGGACTCTTCCTGCAAATCAAACAGTCATCGACTTGATAGCACGGGCAGTATCTCCCATGAACTTGGCACAATGCGATGCGCTCTTTATGCCCTATCTTTGAAAACAGAAATACGAAGAAATGAAAGATTGAAGGGCGCCAACCTTGGTTTGGTGAGGTGTCTCGGAGTTTGGTGGGAAAAATGGAGGAGTCTGACTAACATGGAGTTTTATAGCGTGCCGACAGATATTTTCTTGGGGAGGCGGCGTCATGAGTAGTTTAGGGCTAGTTTAATAATTGTATCTACACGCGAAAATATTCAAACTAGATCACATGTTAAGGCCGACTAACTAATGAATGATCTTATGGTTTCTTAAATAATTTAATGATTTGCCTCGTACTGTTACAGGCTGTAGCCTTGTATGTGGATCCGGAACTATCCGGCTCCGTCTATGAACAAAAGCGCGCTATTGTCACGGGAAAACGCGCTCGATTGGAACAAAACATCTTGCGCGCGCGTTGAAAATATCCTCCTCTGTAGATAAAATATAAATTCATTTTTGGACCCATAATTGTGAACAACAAATGTGAAGTCCCTTCACATATTAATGGCATGGATGATATGTCGAGAGCTAGTTGTGATAGAGCTTGCACCAAGCTGATGGATGAGGTGCGGCTATGATCTTTACTTTGTATAGTACAAGAGCTTTTCTGAAAGAACACAGTTGACGGAGGGAAGCTGAAAGTGAAATTAATTGAGTGCCCTGTCAAAGTAAGAGTGATTTGGGATTATCTACAATGAAGTGTGTGTCACCTGAAAACTAGAAAGTGTGCAAATACAGACGCGTTCGCGATGTACGTGACCCGATAATAACATAGCAGTAGTCCAATAAACTCTACGACTCCGACCATGTAGCTTTTTTGGAGATAGATCATATCCAGGTAGGTTGAACGTTGAATCTTGATAGACGAATGGCGCAATTTACCAAGTTACGAGCCGTGTAGTTAGCGAGTCGTGGCTGCCATGTGTCGAGTGCACAACTATGCCTCTTTAACTCTGGTATTGGATAGAGCATTACAGAGTCACGCGAGAGACTGGCTCTTTTTTTTTTTTTTTTTTTTTTTTTTTTTTATCATTTAATGTGTATTCAGCTATAGAGCTATGACACATGACCGGTACTATGTATACATGTGGGATGACTCTTTTGACCTTAGAGACACTCATACTCTGGATTTCATTTGCAAATACCACTATGAGGTATGTTTGCTTACACAAACAGTCGACCCTCCTCCGTTAGTACCCACCAAAGGGAATTTCAAAACCTTTGATTATCCAAGCATGCCTTCGTCATCCATGCATACCAGCGCCGCGAGAAATGTGATTGTGTTTTGCCGGATTTGAACCAGCGATCTGCTGTCTCAAGTGGGATATGTGTCCAAGCTATCCAGACTCTACTTGGCAGACCGGCCAAGACGATGTACCACCGCACCATCCAACCATGGCAGTGTTTATAGTGTCGCCTGCACTCTCGCAACCGAAGTCTTGGCACGCACAAAGCTCAATTTGTAAAAACTCCTTTCCAAATTTCAAAATTCCATGCCCGTCGAGACTGTATCCATCCTTCGCATCATCTTGTGATCTTGTCCTGAATCCTCTCACGTCCCTCCCAAAGAACAGTCTCCCAGATTTGTGCGCCACGCTTTGCTTCCTCCGTCGGGTGTAAATATCGGCGTGGGCGTGTATTTGGTGACCGGCTGAGGCCGGAGAAGGTCGGCGAGAGGTGTGGTCATTGGAATGAGGATGTACTAGGTCGTACTTGTAAACTTGATGAGGCTTAGGTAGGATTCGATCTTTTTTGGAATGAAAATTTGACGTGGTGGAGTTATTTGAATCATTGCCTCGTGGGCCAACTTGTTCGGTATTGCGAAATTTGACTGAACTTGGCTCTGGGAGAATATTTCACTCCCAGGTTCGTAGAGAGCACCACTGACAGGTGTTCAGTCTTGCCCTCCAGAGACTGGCTCGTGCCTAGAGAAATTGGGTAGTCCACGGTTGGGTAGATGGGACATCTACAGGGCTAATGTTTATCGGCCGCGCGCGACGTCCGTTCCATCCTCATTTAGCTACGCCTCATCTTTGCGAAGTGCGGCATCTGTTCGCATAAAAAGTCACTAAGGTAGGTGAGAATTTGTAATATTTGCATTGGAGGATCATGCTAGGCTGCTCTGCGATCATTGTATATCAATTGGTCACTAATGGTCAGGTGAGAGGGTTATGATTGATCTGGTCCGGGAAGAGACAATCTCTCGAGCTCGTTTAGAATGCATTTTGGGGTTATTTGGTGGCTGGATAGTGTAGTATTAGCGAGTCTGGGATTGTTTTGTCGCTGGACTCTGGATAGCCTCGATACTTGTCGCGGACGATGAAGAAGGCACCTCAGCGGACAACTGGATGAAGTAATTGGTTGGCGCAAGAGTTGGGTAGATATTGGAGCGGCTAAAGAGCTGGGCAGTCGGTACTTGTCGGCATACTCAGGTGGTATTTATATCACAAGCTTTATACAGCAGTAATAACAATTGGTGGTTAACATGTATCTTGGTTCTTGTCTTTCGAACTTGAAACACATATATGCAGTAGTTATCCCTCTCTCCTAACGCCATTCCTAAATAGATAACTCCTTACTCATCAACATAATTGCTCATCATTTCTAAGATAATACATAAAGGTCATGAAGTAAGTTGGCACCAATGAAAGCTGCATAGAATAACAGAAGTTTACTTGTGAGAAAAAGGCGCTAATAAAAAGAGCGAAGACCACTGAATGGAGAGTAGCGATGGCAGAGGCGACGAGAGAACCTGGAAAAATCTGAAAACTTGCCAAGTGGGCGAGAAAAGATCCCGAGGAGAAACAGAGGCTACCTCAAATGGTGGATATCAAAGAAACCGACGGAACTGTTCATACAAAAGCTCCGGAAATAGCCCGAGTCATGGCAGAACGTTTCTTCCACAAACCCGTGGTAGCAAACACATCAGAAATTGCAGCAACCCTTTACCCCTAAAGAATTGGACAATATCTCCGACACCATTACCAGTGGCGAGGTAGAAGAAATCCTAGGAAAACTACCTAGTCATAAGGCTCCTAGTCCAGACGGGATTCCAAATCGACTTCTCAAGGAATATAGGGCAACTCTAAGTAAATATCTCGCTGAGTTACTTGATGCTTGCCTTTCTTTGGATATTATCCAAAGGTGTTTAAAGAATTGTTGGAAATATCGCGCGATGAAATGGGCGCAATATTTACGGAACGAAAGAAGAAGTTGTCTAAAAGAGTTGGAAGTGTGCGCTACAAGTACAAGTGCAGTGTCATAGCTAGATAGGCTGCATACACTTAATGATTTAAAAAAAAAAAAAAAAGTACAAGTGTAAGTGACACAGAGCCTAAGCCACAGCATAAACGGATGTGGCGCCATCTAGGCATAAAAACCCCCCAATAAGCTCCTTGTGCCCACGTCATACAGCTACTCATGTATCCAATTGGTAGCCTGAAGCGCTACCATATTGCCCATTCCAACCTCTTGAATACACACAAGATCGTGTCGGGAACCTAGACGAAATGGAGTGCCCGTACGCCCACAACACTCTGTGTCTCCATTTTCAACAAGAATCGATGACTATCATTCTCCAAAAGCCACAGAAGCCTAGATATGACTCGCCAAAGTCATATCGACCGATAGCACTTCTCAATACAATAGGCAAGCTTCTTGAAAAATTCGTAGCTAACCGGATCTCAAAGGCCGCCGAAGACATTAACATCCTCCTAGATGAGCAGATAGGGGCTCGACTCAACTGATCTACTATGTTGGTAGTTGAGCTTATCACGGAACAGATACACAGTATTTGGGGAAGAAACAAAAACCAGTTCGCTTCTCTTCTCAGTCTCTGTATATCAGGGGCACTTGAAAAAGTCTCCCACGAATGGCTAATTCATAACCTAAGAGTGAAAGATATTCCAGGGTGGATAAGTAGATTTGTCCAATCATTTCTAGAAGAGAAAACTACCTCGGTAGTTCTCGATACATACAGAGTAAATCAAATCCCTACCAGCAAAGGAATACCTCAAGGCTCATCTCTATCGCCAATTCTTTTTCTATTCTTCGTTAGCACGCCCCTACCGATACTATAAACCCCTTCTACGTCTGCTGATGGGTTTTTAGATGATAAAAACATACTAACTTGGTCAAGTACCACCGAGGAAAATTGCAAGAAGTTAGAGGTACAGCAGGGAATATCCGAGGCGTGGGCAGAAAAGAATGGCCTGAAGTTTGCGCCAGAGAAGTACCAGCTCATGCATTTCACACGAGCAAGGAAATGATGCAGCCTAGAAACAACTGTCAGCATACAAGGACAATTAACATCTCCACAGTCTTCCCTCTGAGCCATTGAAATCTACATCCGTCCTAAACTTCAATGGGCTTCCCACATAAAGCAAATCGAACAAAAGTCACACACTCAAGTGCAGTCAATAAGTATATTGACGCAAACAACTCAGGTTGCAACATTTAAGTAGTCAAAACTTTTGTAAAGCACAATAGTCAGACCAGCACTCACCTACGGGACCCCGATATGGGCTGCAGCTGGATCGGCAGGTAAAATACTAGACAGGATAGTGAAACCATCGTGAAGTATCCAACGAAAATGCTTGAAGCTTGTTACAGTGGCATATAACTCCACCAGCAGTTGAATACTAGATCATTAATGCTCATTCCTTCCACTTGTAACCTACCTCAGACAATGTAGGGTTCAACACATTGGACCTTCAGAAGCACAACCTGTCAATCAGACGGTTCTATCTGCATGTTGTAGAATATCGCAGGTGTGACGCACGGATCACAACAAGGTTACATGCGCAATACTCCTCACGCTGGAGACATGTAACTGTAGTTAGATAACTTTACCACTGCGCCAACTGGCCTAGAGAGGCACAAAATTAGATCTATGTGATCAATAGTTTTCTTACTATATATGGTAGACTCGTGAGCTCACACAGAGCATCACAGCAGGCTTATAGCCTGAGCAAAAATAGCCATGCCAAGAATCGAAGCCGGTATACTAACAAGTAGTCA